AAAGAAAGGAAAAGAGAGGGAGAAAAAGAATGAAAAAGGATGGATGGAAGGGAAGGAAAAGAAACAGAGGGGGAAAAGAAAGATGGTTGAAGTGAGGGAGGAAGAGAGGAAAGGAAGAGAGACAGAAAGCAAGTTAAAGCAATACTGGAGATCATCCCAACCCTCCTTGGAAACAGTCTTGAGCTCACCAAAACGTCAGGCGCTGCCTAGTAACCATGCCCATGACCCATCTTGGTAACACAGCTATCTCCATCTGCAGGTAGTCCCCGGCTTGCAACCATTCCCTGACTTACAACAGCACTGGAAAAAAAAAGTTGACTTACAACTGCACTTACAACTGTCGCAGGAATCCCTCAGTCTAGTAATCAAAATTTGGGCAGCCACCTGGTAGTTGCCAACACTGAGAAACACCAACCAAGCCATTTCTAATCTTATTTCAGGTTGTTCTCGACTTACGACCCCAACTGAGCTCCAAGTTTCTGTTGCTAAAAAAGAAAGATGCTTATGAGTTTTGCCCCATTTTATGACCTTTCTTGTCACGGTTATTAAGTGGATTGCTGCAGTTGTTAAGTTAAGCCAGAGGTCTCCAAACTTGGCCACTTTAAGACTCGTGGACTTCAACTCCCAGTACTCCCAAAGCTGGCTGAGGAATTCTGGGAGTTGAAGTCCACAAGTCTTAAAGTTGTCAAGTTTGGGGACCTTAAGCAGCTGTTAAGAGGGGGCATGCATAAGTGCGCTAACGTACCTATCATGCCTGTCATTGTATTTTTATTCTCTTGTTCCCGTTTTTGTTTTGACAAATTCCAATAAATCAATAAAAGAAATGAGTTATACGGTTAAGTGAATCTGGCTTCTCCTTGATTTTGCTGGTCAGGTGCTCACAAAAGTAGATCACAGGAACCCAGGACACTGCGATTGTCATAAATATGGCGCACCAAAGGGGATCTTTTTTTGCATATTATTTACTTCTGATTTCATTCTTCTTTTTGCAAAAAAATATTTTTGATCTCTGCAAAGATTCATTTCCAATTCCTCTTTATGATTTAATTCCTCTTTTTGCAAGCATTTTATTTCTGATCACCTTCTCTTTCTCTCTCTCTCTCTTTCTGATTGCCTTGCCAAAATGTATTTCACAGAGATTTATTATTACTAGTTTCGTTTCTGCTTTTGCAAAGATTTGTTTCTGTCTCTATCCCACCTTCCAATTTTCTGATTTCCTTTTGAAGCGGAGGTTTGTGGGTTGGCTGAAAAACAAGGAAAACTTCAGGGCCTTGGATTGAACAAATAAAATTGTTAAATCTTTTTGGAATTTTTGTTGGAGAAAGGAACTGTGAAAGAAATCTGTTGAAAACATAAATGGCTGCCAACACGCATTATGCAAGCAGACCCATTAATTGCATAAGAGACGACAGCAGATGGCATAAAATATGAAAAAAGAGTAATGTTGAACTGAAAATATAAAGATAAAGCTAATAACAGATAGTCCTCAACTTACAACAGTTGACTTAGTGACAGTTCAAAGTCACGACAGCATTGGAAAAAGTGACATGATCGGTTTTTCTACATATAGCCGTTATGGCATCCCATGATTAAAAATTCAGATGCTTCGTATTTACGACGGTTGCAAATTTCCTGGGGTCACGTGATCCCCTTTTGCAACTTTTTGACAAGCAAAGTCAATAGGGAAGCCGATTCATTTAACAACCTGATTAGGAAGGAAGGAAGGAAGGAAGGAAGGAAGGAAGGAAGGAAGGAAGG